CGCATCGAGTTCACAACCCTAAACCCCTAAACCGGTACTCAGACCTTGCAGCTGTCCCCTCCAAGGTGACATCAACGGAGCATACCTGGGCCGGATTATTGAGCGAATGGTCGAAAACAAGTCTGGGTTTAGGGTTTAGGGTTTAGGTTTTATGGTCGAAAACAAGTCTGGGGCGCATAACCCCAAGGGTATAGAGGGCCAAATAATCAGGTACGTAGGTTTCGGAGTGTAGTTCTGTAGGTTACTACTTGGGAGAATATATGATCATTAGGTACTGGGACCCTCAGGGTAAACTTTAAGCCCCAAACCCTAAACCCTAAACCCTAAACCCTAAAACCTGAACCAGACCTGGAGTCTCCATTGCAGTTCCTTTTTGGGGTCCCTTTTCAGGATCCTAAACCCTAAGGGTCCATGTACCTTTAAAGGGGTCCTTTAAGGGTTCTATAAGGGTACCATAAGGGTTTAGGGTTTAGGGTTTAAGGGTCCATGTACCCAAATAGTATATACTTTGGCCTTTAATGTAGTCCCTATAGAGGTACTTTAGGGCCAATGTATATAATATTTGGGTACATGGACCATTAGGGAAAGATACAATCTCCTTCAATCAAAAATGGGGCTGCAATGGAGACTACCCAGAGAACCCAATACCCCTTAATTAAGGAATATACTTTAAACCATAGTATTAAGGCCGCTATAATTCAAGGCATATTCCTTAATTAAGGGGTATTGGGTTTTCTGGGTACAGGTAGCCCAAAGCCCTGGTTGTTGGCTGTGTAGTTCAGGTCGCGGCCTTGGGTTGGCGGCTAGGATTCAGGATCATCGGGCCAGAAGGTTTAGGGCTTAGGGTTTAGGGTTTAGGGGATGGCCGGCATCAGTACAAGCTGCGTGGATACTTGAGGAATCTTCAGGACATGGAACTCTTCCTGTCACTAGTATCCAGAAGTCACTTCGATATGTGAGGTGCTGTTGGGGCATTGTCAGTTGTAGGTGACAACATGCTGATGTCCTGTATGCCCACAACCTACATCATTCCATGCTTAGCTGTCAGAACGCATGTAGGGCAATGTAAGGATTGAGATGCGGGTTCAGTGGTGTCGCTGGCAGGCAAATACACGATTCCACGGTTGATGATGTAAATCCTGCATTACCCAGAATAAGGATTATACCATAAAACCTATAGTTTCGGGTCCATAACGTAATGCAGGATTGCTATCATCAACAGCCCTAAGGGTCCATGTACCCAAATAGTATATACAATGGCCTTAATGTAGTCCCTATATAGGTACTTTAGGGCCCGTGTATATGCTATATGAATACATGGACCCTTAGGGCAGTAGCCCTTCTAGCTTGTGGCCTGCACGCCCCGACAATAACTGCCATCGGCCGTGGGTTTAGGGTTTACCTTAAGAACCCCAAACCCACTTTTTTGTAGGTTCTTATTATAGACCCTAATATGGGATTTATAGGGACCCTACAAAAAAAAAGTAGGTTGTGGGTTCTTAAGGTATGGGCTTCGGGCTTAGGGTTTAGGGTGTAGGATTTAGGGTATACCGTACATTGCAAGCGATTCGGATGCAGTGTAACCGTTGTTTTGTTTACCGCGAGCTGGGACATTGTAGAAGTCAGTTTAAGTCCGGAGAAGGAAACAACGGAGGAAACCCGAAACTGTTCATGTCAAATGTGCAAGGTGCAATTCTCATGCCGATGCCCCATATATGATATGAACAGCCAGCTATATTTATCCTTTATACTGTGTAGAACCTGCTTCGGTAAACTTGTGCTATGCAGCAGGCTGTGAACGCGCGCACATACATGCAATGCAAGCAACCGCAGCCTTTGCCAGAGCTTGTGCCGCTGAGCGTGACACCAAGCAAGACGTCAACTTGCATTGCCTGAAGTTGCTCAAGACTTGAGAGTTGTTCAACACGCTTCAGCGAACATGCCCAGTACACTCAAAATGCACTTGGCACACAAGCAGACTTCCGTCTATGCCACGTAGATGCAGAAATGTGAGGCGTCCCGCCGGAGCAACGAAATGCCAAGGCGGCATCGAGAAGTTGTGCCATGTTGGTGTGTGACTTTGTCCTTGCTGCTTGCTGTGCATCTGCGTGGGGTAACGGAGAAGGGCTGGGTGTCTTCCGGTTGGCGACAGCAGTCTCTGGGCGTGGCAGCGCGCATGTCTGCGAAGCGCCCCCAGATCATAGGCAAGGCAACCGGTTCGTCGGAATCCAACGTCTATGACATTGTGGTTGTCGGGAGTGGTATTGCCGGGTTGTCCGCTGCAGCGATGCTTGCCATGTATGGCTACCGAGTCCTCATTTGCGAGGCTCACGAACACCCTGGCGGTGCTGCCCACGGATTCACTCGCAAGGTCAAAGGCGTCGGAACCTTTCGCTTCGACAGCGGGCCATCCCTCTTCTCTGGTATGAGCGCGCCCTCTGCAAATCCGTTGCGGCAGGTGGATTTTGTTTTCAAGTTGGGGAGACCGTGTAACGTATGAAGGTTTCATTTTTGATGGGTTGGTTACCGTTGGTTTGGAGTTTAGAATTCCAGCCCCGTGCTCCGAGACAGCAGGTTCTTGACTCCGTTGGTGAGACCCCCGAATGGCTGCCCTACGATCGCTGGAAGATGTACCTGCCCGGTGACAAGCTCTTCGATGTAGGCACAGAGACACTGAAGGGTTCAGGGTTTAGGGGTTACAGGGACCGTCCCAGCAAGGTGCGCGAAGCTTGACTGTCGCCTGCACATGCGCACGATGTGCACGCAGTACTACACATGTAATTACATGTATAGACACGGAAACACACATTTCAAACACTAGCCAAGACGAGGGTTTAAGGTTGCACACAGAAAGAGAGACAGAGAGAGAAGGCACAATCCCTGACGGTCCATGTACCCAAATAGTGTATACATTGGCCCCCAAGTACTTATATAGGGACTACTTTAAGGCCAAAGTATATCTATTTGGGTACAAGGACCCTTAGGGAATGCGAACAACTCCGCGCACCGGAATTAACGAACAAGGAGAGAAGTGAGGCCGATGAACTCAGACATATGCACAGGCACAGTCTGTACTACGTATGTGTCCAAACAAAAGCCCGGCCTCTTATGACGTTTAGTGTTTAGGGTATATAGGTGTACGCATTTATGTATGTATGTATGTGTGTATTTATATATATATAGAGATGTAGGTAGAAATGTCGATATGCGTCTGTGTAGTCATACATGTATTTGCATCGATCTACCTGCCGTTGTGTTATCTCTGTTTGCATCGTGTCTACGTATGTCTGGTCTGTAGGTAGGTATGGTTGTGTATGCATACTCTGCGCATGCACACCCCTCATGCTCCAGTGTTTTTGGTTTACTTTGCCTGGCAGGGCAGCGAACTACAGCATGCGACACCACAATGCAGAATGCATGCCTGCACGCATAGTCATCTACATGCGCCCACATTCGTGGAACTGCACATGCAGACAGTTAAGATGGAGAGGCGCATATCATACAGATCTTCTCAATAGGCCGGCCACTTGGCACATACTTACACCCACATCCTGTACCCTAAGGGTCCATGTACCCAAATAGTATATACATTGGCCCTAAAGTTCCTATAATAGGGACTACATTTGAGTACATGGACCCTTAGGGGTATTGGACAGAGGCAAATAGCTTTCTGCAAGCCGGGGCAACACCGATAAGTTCCACGCAAGCAAACCGAAACAGTCCAGTCACTGTCATAACGGGCTCCCGTACTCTTACTATACATAATGGGCTACCGTTCTATATTTGGGCGAAAACGCACAGACAGCAACCTCCTGCGCAAGTAAACGGGGGAGTGGGCTTCGAAGCAGATCTCTCGCGCCTAGACCCTATAAAGCGCTAAACCCTGCAGCTCGTGCCACAGGTTCTGGTGATGCCACCGCGTTTGGCCGAGAGCTCGCCCGCGCAAGTGGCAACGCCGCTGAGGCGGAAGCGTGGCCTGGGTTGTGGAGGGGTGGAACCTTATCTCTCAAAGTGAAGGGTGATGAATGGTGCACACAGGTGTGTAAATACACATTGTATCATCATACTGATCTACATATGACATATGTATGTGTGTATATATATATATAGATGTATATATATATATATACCCGAATGGTGCATAAGTGTACATGTACATAAAGGTGCGTACATACACGTACATGCATATATATATATATAAGAGAAAAAGAAAAGAAGACATGCTCTGTTGCTCTCCCTCTCTCTCACACATAGGCTCTTTTGTTATGTCGCTGTCTGTTTGTGTGCGGGGGAGGGGCGTCCGATGCTTCTAGGATTCTTAGGGTTTAGGATTTAGGGTTTCGGGTTTAGGGTTTAGGATTTAGGGTTTAGGTGGGAGCGGCGCAGCAGGCAGAGATATGGGACAGACTCCGCGCAGCCAACAAACCGCTCGGGGAGTTGATTGCGGCCGTGCCGCCCATCGCCCTGAGGGCATTGCGGGCCAAACTCATTGAGGGGTTTGTGGTTCAGGGTTCAGGAGTTATTGGCAATGCTCGAAGGTTCGACACTCATAAGCGTCCTCATGATTGCAATCTCCATGGTAACTGCTACGCGAGTCTTGAATTGCTAGAATCTAGTATGTTTACAGCGGTCGCTGCCAGCACCTATATTATAGTTGCCTCAGTCTCTTGTTTACACAGTTGCGTTGTTTAGCTCGAACAAGCCTGAGCGATTTTGACCACGTTATCACTACTCTTTTGCTACCTTCATTACATCACGCCATCCTCCCCTAACCCTAACTAAGTTCAGGAATCTGCAAATTCACGGGGTTTGTCATAGCTACTATCGCTCCGGTGATTTCAGTAAGCTAAGGGTCGCATTAACGAGGAATTAATAGTATCCCCCTGTCCTCGCTACTCATACTCATCGTATAATATACAAGGAAACCCTAATGACTCTCATCATATTGATGCCCCTATACAAAGCTTTTCTAGACAAGAAACAACTTGTAGAACACTTCAAGGAATTCCTCCAATGGAACACCGAAACCTTATTCTAAGTATTACGCCCCTAGATTAGATTAAACCCTAAGCCCTTAACCCTTAAAAATATGAAGAACCAACAAAAACCTACGACCCTAAACCCTAAACCCCTGGATTGTAAACCCTAAACTTAACCCTTAAACAAATGAAGAACCTACCTATAGCCTCCATTGTAGTTCCTTTTGGGGGATAGCTTATAAGATCCTGAATATATAATTGGTTAAACCAAAAAAAGGAACTACAATGGAGACTATAGGTACGACCCTAAACCCTAAACTCCCGGATTAGATTCCCTAAACCCTAAGCCCTCAACCCTTAAAAAATGTAGAACCTACGACCCTAAAGACCTTCCCGCTGACACTTCCCTAAGGGTCCATGTACCCAAGATAGTATATACATTGGCCCTAAAGTACCTATATAGGGACTACATTAAGGCCAAAGTATCTACTATTTGGGTACATGGACCCTTAAACCCTAAACCCTAAGGCCCTAAACCCTTATGGTACCCTCATAGAACCCTTAAAAGACCCCTTTAAAGGAACCCTAAAGGGTACTTTATACTATTTGGGTACATGGACCCTAAACCCTAAACCCTAAACCCTAAACCCTAAACCCTAAACCCTATGGACCCTTAGGGATTCTTGGGACCCCGGAGGCGGACCTTGGAGCGGCGCAGACCCTGCTGCCGTACTTTGGGAGGATGGATCCTCTGTCTGGGCTAGCTCCTTGACGATCGAATGGGTTTAGGGTTTAGGGTTTAGGGTTTAGGGCTGTCTGGGCTAGCTCCTTGAGGACCAAATGGGAGTTTCCTAAAACAGGGGGTACCTTATTTTGGGGTCCTTACAACAAGGATCCTACTGGTTGGGGTACTATACTAGGGTCCCCTATTTTCGGAAACCCCCAAATGACCGTTTAAATGTCGGGGCTGGATTTAGGGTTTGTAGGATTTAGGGTTTGTAGGATTTAGGGTTTGTAGGGTGAAGGGTTTGTAGGATTTAGCGCTCAGGGTTTAGGCTAGCTCCTTGAACCTTGAGGACCAAATAACCCTTTGAAGGTAGGGGCCTTGTTCCCATATACTATGAATCTATATATGGTGTATGAACCTTAAACCCTGTTAGGGTCCATTTCGTCCCCAAGGCTATGGTGATGTCAGGCATCAGCCCTTCAGCTCCATTTTCGGATGTACTGAAGGCAGGGCAGGTGCCCGATTCTTCCTTGACCGGATGGTTCTTCGACTTCTTGGCATTCGCATTGCAGGGCCTCCCTGCAAGTGCAACTCAAGCCGCAGGTGTCTCCTTCATGATGCGGGAGTTCTTTGCACCGGGAGCCTTGGGGACGAAATGAACCCTAAAAGGGTTTAAGGTTCATACACCATATAGGGATTCATAGTCTATGGGAACAAGGCCCCTACTTTAAAGGGTCATTTTAGTCCTCAAGGAGCAGTCATGGACTACCCTAAGGGAGGCTCCGGTGCACTGGTGGATGCGCTGCTGCGTGCTGTTGAGAAGCGTGGTGGGGAGCTGAGGCTCCGGACGCGTGTTGAGAGGCTCACCGTCGACAAGACAGGTCGCTGGGTTCTGGTGTACCATACTTGAATACTTTATTTGGGACCTGTTCCTTAAGGGAACTAGTATGAAATTAAAGTCTATACTTTTTTCCCCCTTGCTACTTCAAAGTCTAGGTCGTTGCACTGGTGTCGAACTGAAAGGCGGTGAAGGTCTAGAAGCGCGTGTGGCCGTGCTGTGCAATGCAGATGTTTGGAACACTTCGTCGAAGCTGCTGCCGGAGGAATGGCGCCCCAAGGTGAGAGGTTCGTCCCTGGACGTGGAGGGCGTGCCGATGTGTCCGAGTTTCATGCACCTGCACCTGGGCTTCCGAACTGAAGGATTGGATTTGGCAGCCATGGGCGTCCACCACATTACCGCTGCAGACCTGCAAGCACCGGTTGATGCTACAGACAATCTGGTTTTCATCTCCATTCCCAGTGCCATCGACGACACCGCCGCGCCTAAGGGGTACGCTTGCCTACACGCCTACCTGCCAGCGACGGAGCCTTACGATGCATGGGCCGGGATGGACCGGCGCTCAGAAGAGTACAAGCGCAAGAAAGAGGAGCGCGCCGCGCCACTCTGGAAAGCCGTCGAGCGTGTGATCCCTGACATACAGAGCCGACTTGTTGTCAGGATGGTCGGCACGCCCTTGACACATGAGCGGTTTCTGAACAGGCACAGAGGCACCTACGGCCCGGCTTACCGAGCTGGGATTCAGAGCTACCCGTCGCCGCAGACACCTCTGGAAGGGCTTTGGTGCATAGGCGAGGGATCTTTCCCAGGGATCGGGGTCCCTGCTGTTGCGGGGAATGCTGCTGGAGTCGCCAACACCATCGCACCCCTCGAGATGCATCAGAGGCTGCTCGACCGGTTGAGGAAGGCCGAGCTGCTCGCACCTAGGCTCTCCTTGAAGTTGTCATCTTTAGGGTTTAGGGTTTAGGGTTTAGGGTTTTCACTTTCAGTTTCTATGTATTGCCGCAAGCTCTCGAGTTGCATATGCATACTCTCGCCTTCAAGGTTCAGGGTTTACGGCTTATATGTATGTCTGTACATATATATATATATATATATACATATATATATATATATACGTACATACATACACATATCTACACGTGTATACACATACACACATACATACATACATACATACATACATTCATCCATCGGTCCATCCATCCATCCATCCATCCATCCATCCATCCATCCATCCATCCATCCATCCATCCATCCATCCATCCATCCATCCATCCATCCATCCATCCATCCATGCCTCCATCCATCCATGCATGCACATATACACATGCACATATATGCATATATATATATATATAGATAGATAGATAGATAGATAGATAGATAGATAGATAGAGAGATAGAGAGATAGAGAGATAGATAGGTAGGTAGATAGATAGATAGATAGATAGATAGAGAGGGTTTAGGATCTACTTCCACATGGCCTCCATGAACAGCCAAGGTACCTGACCGCGATTGGAAGTAGGCAACCACGGGTCTCGACGCCCACGCGGCCTGCAATCAATCCGGCTTTACGGTTTAGCGTGTACCTGTCGGTGCATACCCTACCTAAAGCCTAAACTCTAAACCCTAAACCCTACTCCTTTTTTAAGGGTATTTACTTGCCTATGTAACAGATCAGGGTGCGAGCCTCTAGGTACTCAGGGTTCAGGGATGTGTAAGGTTTGATTTGGCTTGGAGGTTTAAAGTTTTAGGCTTTAGGTTTTGTCTCCTGTACAAGTTTGAGCCGCAAAGCCGAAACCCGAAACCCTGAACTCTAAGCCCAAAAGCAAACCACAAGCCCCAGACCACAAGCCCCTTAAGCACATTGACGTGTACTTTCGAGCGAGTCGAGCATGTTGCATGGAGGGTTTCAGTGGTCTTCTTGCTTTGCGGGCAGAAAAGGCAAGGATACCCTTGAGGATGAAATGAACCCTGAAAGGGCTAAAGGTTCGATGACCACTTGGGGGTTTAGGGTTTAGGGTTCATGGGCTTAGGGTTTAGCATATATACGGGTATGGGGCCCTTGCTTTTTTCTTATCCGGGCATAGTATTAGTATATTTTCGGTTTCGTCTTCATACAATAGTAGCATAGACATATTGTTGATGATACAAATCCTGCATTACCTTAAGGACCCTAAACTATGGGAGTTATGGTACATCCCTTATTATGGGTAATGTAGGATTTATATCAGACCTCAGATCTCAGATGCCAGAAATCATGTTATGGATGTCTGCATCTGGGCTCAGCCATGGGGGGCGGGTGCGTGGGACACGCTATGATTCTATGGTGAAGGCTTGTTCATGGCCTCGGCGAAGTTCGCTTTTGCAGAAGAAGCTTGAGAGAACAACGCGAAAGGACCATCTGAACTTAACAACTTCCGCAACAATCACGCGTTTGGCCTCGAAGGTTTTCTTGCAAGATGTAGCTTGACAAGATAGCTTGGATCCCACAAGATCAAACTACCTCCAGCCTTGGAGCCGCAATATATATATATATATACACATCTATTTTAGGGTGACGGGTTCGAGCTGCGTTTGACAACAGCTGCCTTCCTGGATTTTTCCCAAAAGGTCCAGCAGGTAGTCCGAATTTATGGTTTTTGGGTACCCAAAGACCGACCCAAAGTCCTATAAGGGAGTACTTGGACCCTAGGGTTTAGGGTTTAGGGTTTAGGGTTTAGGGTTTAGGGTTTAGGGTATAGGGTGTACGGAAAGAAGACTCCCACCGCTCCAGCGTCTAAACCCATCGGGGCTCTCTGCGGCCATGCTGCGGCCACTTCGCTTGATACCGTCTGGCGTCCAGGCTCCTGCTGAGAGATGATGCAAGTAACCAGTTACAAATCCAGACAACCCATCATACTCGGCATGCCGGGGCCTTTCGATATGCTTTTCATGTTTCCAATTCTACCTACGCCAAGGTGATCGCAACGGCAGCTTGCCCTAAAGCAGGTCAGCATGCCTTCTATTCTAGGTTACCAAATCGCCGAGGATCCTGGCATACAATATAGTATGATACAGTCTGTAATATACTGTATGCAGTGTATGGCATATAGTATATAGCAGATGAGGAAAAGTAGATAGTAGATAGTCCAGCATTTCATGTTAGGGGATGAGAGAATAGCAGCCATTTTGTCTGCTTCTGCTGTGGACGATGGTGCACTTGCCGCCCCTGATAGCTAAACCCGAATTGCCCAAAGTACCTACGGATATGCTATTCGCGGTTTAAGATAAGCAGTTGTAGCATTGTATTTTCGGGGGATGCTCGCGAGTTACTTGGACCCTTAGAGAAAACCGCCAACGAGCAGGGCTACCACCGCGACACCATCGCGGCCTCCAGCGATGCCTTCGCATACTCCTCGACGATGCCACGGCCTCAGAATTCATGCAATGTCTTGGTATAGCCCTTTTGTACTATATGCTATATACTATATACTTTGTACAATATACTTTATACTATATACTACAAGTTACCATATACTACCTAAGACTTAATACTTCAAAGAAGACAGTGTACCTCAAGCCGCTACGAATCTGCCCAAGAGCATCACACCGCGCTCGGTCTTCGGGGCCTAGGCTATGAGGCCTCAAGAATTAGGATAACGGTTTAGGGTTTAGGGGTTGGGGTTTAGGGTTTAGGGTTTAGGGTTTAGGGTTTTAGGGTTTAGGGTTTAGGGTTCTGGGCTCCTTTAAGGTACAGCCATAGTATAAGGAGCCCTCAGGAACAAGATGGGTAATTATTTGGGCTTTTATATTAGGCAGTGAATAATATTGGTAACTCGTTGGGCTTCTATTTTAGGCTATGAACAATATGGGTAATTATTTGGGCTTCTTTATTAGGCTGTTGGGTAATTATTTGGGCTTCTATATTAGGCTATGAGGCTGCAGTCTTGCAGTCTCGGCAAGATTCATGCTCTGCGCTGCACAAAGTCAACCGGAGAGGGGAACGAACCCATCAGCTCCACATAAAAGCCCTAAACCCCTTAACCCCTAAACCCTGAACCCCTAAACCTAAACCCCTAAACCATGTAGAAAGGCAGAAAGGAAACCAGCACGAACAACTAGTGAGGCTCATGAGGGAGAAGTTGCATATCAAGACCAGAATCCGAAGGAGGGGCTGTGCCCTAAACCTAAACTCTTCAGTTGTTTCACAGGTTTCAAGTCTTGACATAGCCCCTATGTAGTATACTATTACTATAACATACCCCTTCAACAACAAATCGATAGCTCTCTAAGAAGGGTCCCTTTGGGGGTCCTTTTCTGGAAACTAATTTAGAGAACTACTCAAATGCTTGGACCACTCAGGCCGCTATAGGCTTTCCACCTCGCTTCCGGCAAATATATCGCTGTCTGACAAGGAAAGATTATGATAAGCTCTGCGACGAGACCTTTCGAACCGTTTTTCAGTCGGCCCAACCTTAAACCCTAAACCCTAAACCCTAAACCCCTAAACCCTAAACCTTAAACCCTAAACCCTCAAGCCGAGAGCCTGAGCCCTCCAGCCGAAACCCGAAATCCGAGACTCTAAGCCCCTAAGTCCTATGTAAACCCTATGTTGCGCCTCCTCCCTTCGGCCCATCACATGTCGGAAGCCCATCACATGTCGGAAGACTGGCTAAGCTTCTCAGATGAATCTTAGTAGAGGTGTTCAAGGACCAAGGACCACAAACCCAGAGGCTCCATATCCAGTACCATTATCTGGAAGTAGGTCCCTAAAAGCCCGGATAAGGATGGTCTCTTGGGACCTAAGTCCACAATCGTAAAGTATTTGGAGCCTCTACCTATGGTCTCCATTGTACTTCCTTTTTGGGGATACCTTATAAAATCCTTAATGTATAGTTAAAAAAAAGGAACTACAATGGAGACTATCCCTAAGGGTTCTTGTACCCAAATAGATATACTTTGGCCTTAAAGTAGTCCCTATATAAGTACTTTGGGGCCAATGTATATACTATTTGGGTACACGGACCCTCAGGGTATAGTTAGGAAACATCCCAAAACCCTAAACCCTAAACCCCTAAACCCTAAACCCTAAACCCTAGCTTCTCAGATCTTGAGCCTAAACTACGTATGGTGTCCATGGTAGTTCTTTTTTGGGAGTTACCCCTATAGGTTCCTGAATGTAATAATGGGTTAAACCGAAAGAAGGAACTACAACGGAGACTGTAGGTCTACCTGAACCCCGTATCTAAAACCTGCCTGTTTTTTTGGGTGGCCAGTTTGTTGTGACTTCTTTCTATGAGTCTCTCGAAACAAGTAGAACACAAAAACAAGGCAATGAGGGAGTCAGGAAAGCCTTGAGCCACCCTAAACCCTAAACCCTAAACCCTAATTGCAGCCCAGGTCTTTGCATATCTTCCGACTCAAAGTCCGCAACTTAGTTGGAGACCACTGCGCGTCGCTTTAGGGTTTAGGGTTTAGGGCTGCGTGGATGTAGCAGCATGCAGCTGCCGCCCCACATATGGCGCTTCTCCGAAAATGGGGGACCCTAATATCGTAGCCTAAGTCGTGGGATCCTTATTATAAGGACCCCAGAATAAGGTACCCCTTATTTTCGGAAGCCCCCACATTGTTCGCAAGCTAACCCTCAACCCTCAACCCTAAACCCTAAACCCTAAACCCCAAGCTAAACATCCTTAGAGATTGGAACTAAAAGACTGAAGTCGGGAATAGCAGCTCGGATGCACCTTTTCCAAGCTTGAGAAAGCATCCTGCGGTAATCTATGGTTTAGGGTTTAGGGTTTAGGGTTTAGGGGGGGCCTTAATAATTACCTATACTCTTTTGGGGGTTCCTTATTCGAACTATAGAATAATGTACCCCAGAACCGTAGTCTGACTATTAAGGCCGCTATACTAGTCAGGCAAGACGGGAGACTTGGTACTTGTGCTTATTGTCGGCATTCACACTCACAACTCCCAGCCGGCCGTATGTTGAAGTACCTCTCCCGTCAGAAGACATATTGGGCACAGGGCTGAGGCACAGATTGTTTCCCATTCAACTGAAACCCTAAACCCTCAACCCTAAACCCTAAACCCTAAACCAGTTGCATGTTCAGTATGCTCGTCGGTGCGAAAGAAGGCGGCGAGAGCCTCAGTCGTCCATCCCACACATCCCAATACCACCTTAACTAAGAAAATGGTATCATGACAATACCCTAAGGGTCCATGTGCCCAAATAGTATATACATTGGCCTTAATGTAGTACCTATATAGGGACTACATTAAGGCCAAAGTATATCTATTTGGGTACATGGACCCTTAGGGTAGGAAAATGGTATCATGACAATAAGCCCTATGTACGTTTGAACGTATAGTCCTGGGGCCTTCGGGACCCCAAACTCTGAATCCTGCAATGAGCTCTGAGATAGCACGCAGACTCAGCAAGTCAAGGCCTTGAACTCAGTTTGAGCCCTGTACATGTGTGTATATATATATGCACATATACATACATATATATATATATGTATATATATATATACACATGCTTGTACATGTATTTAAGTTATGTTCCTTTAGACATATTTATGCTTACTTATGTCTATATCTGTGTTTTTACATATGCTTTGTCGATTACTTCTAACGAGCTTGTCCATTTTTTCATGGGTTGAGGACAACACCCTCCAGAAGATGATCGCTGCCCATGAGCGCGCCATCTCCGCCATCTGCTGGTGCCCGGAGGACATGGCTTCGTCTTTCTCGACTAAGGGTCCAGGAGCTTTGGGTCTAGGGTTTTGGGTTTAGGGCTTGGGGTTTAGGGTTTAGGGTTTAGGGCTTTGAGTTTAGGGTTTAGGGCTTTGGGTTTAGGGCTTTGGGTTTAAGGTTTAGGGTCTAGGGTCAGGTATGGGGGCCTGAATCATCAGAACAGGGTTTTGGGGTAGATTGTAATATGCTGGAAATAAGGAAATAAGGAGCCCTGAGGAATAGTATTGGTAATTATTCAGGCCTTTATAGTAAGGGTTAAGGGTTTCGAGTGCTGGGGGGTTTAGTTTTAAGCTTTAGGTGCTCGGGGGTTTAGCCTTCAGGGTGGTAGCTGGTCGGGGTTCGTGTTTAGGGTTTAGGGTGAGGTTTAGGGGTTGAGTGTTTGGGTTTTAGGGGCCCCTGGGTTTAGGCTCGGGGGTGGAGGGTTCTCAGAGGCTAGAGGGTTTAGGGTTCACGGCTGCAGGGGTCTAGGTGTTCGGGGTGCAGAGTTGAGGCTGTTCTTTGTTTGCATCCTATGCCTGACATGGGTGTGTGGTTGAGGGCTGACTTCTTACAATACCGCATAAACCGTGTGACATGTTAGGGGCTATCTGGGCTCGTTGAAGAGTCTAGTCTTCTGGAACTGCGCTTTGGAGTACCATGCTTTAACACTTTTTTGGGGGGGACCTGTTCCTTAAAGGAGCCATTATGACATAGAAGTCTATTTTTTTTTTTCTTCCAGGTTACTTCGAAGAACCCGAAACCCCTCTGAGTCTCTTCGGGAAGCGGACCCACGCCCTAAGCCCCCTAAAGCCTAAGCCCTAAACCTTCAACCTAGCCTACCCTGAGGGTCCATGTGCCCAAATAGTATATACGTGGGCCCCAAAGTACCTATATAGGGACTACATTAAGGCCAACGTATATCTATTTGAGTACATGGACCCTTAGGGTATACTACCGGATATCGTGATAGGGATCTGTACGCCCCGACATAGCCCTAAACCCTAAACCCTAAATCCTAAACCCTAAACAATAAAACCCCACGTCGAACTCTTCTGAGGACAACAACCTCTTGGCGCCAGCTGCTCAAGATTCCCATGTGATGTTGTTCTTGCTGGTTTCCTGCTTTTGGGGTTTATGCCTGAGTTCTAAACCCTATACCCGACCCGTCTCGTCCTTCCTGACATAGCTTAGGTGTTGTAGGTGTTTGTTTGTGTATATATATATATATATACATACATACATGCACACATACATACACACACACACACACATATGTATATGTCTGTGTATGCATACATGCTTGTGTGGGTGTCTACATACATAGAGATGAAAATGCATGTCGATGCACTTGCTTTAGTCCCTTTGGGGTCACTCTTGTTCGTGGTTTACGGTGTTTCGCCGTATGTATTTCATCATGTTCGGTTTTGAAGCAGTCCTTTAAGCGGGTGCTCATGTGGCCTTTGCAGGGTATCTTGCTCCGACAAATCAAGCTCACGGGTACTTCCGGGCGGTCTTGGCACTTGGAATTTTGAAGATGCCACGGCATGTTACCATCACATAGTCTAGTAGACGCAGAATGTCCAGCCTGCTTGTCCATCGGCAGCCGCAACGCAGGCACTTTGCAGCTAAAATCATGGGTGGTGATGGGTGCACGCAGACCTTCTGCTGCATAATGTAGGGGGCTTGAATAATTACCTAGCCTATACTATTTTTTGTTTGGGGGTGGGGGTCCTTACTATAAATATAGTATAACGGGCCCCAAAACCCTATTCGAACAAAAAGGCCCCTACAGTATTAAGGCTTGTCTAGTCATCTCCGGGCCCAGGAAGTCTATCCTCAAGTCTAGGCAAAGCCTGAAGCCCACACCCTCAACCGTCAACCCTCAACCACAAGCCCCATGGGTTTAGGGTTTAGGGTTTAGGGATGCTTGAACCTAAAACCCCCAACCCATACGCTTTGAACGCTAGGCGCCGAGCTTCAGGTCCTGTTCGTTAGGAATGCGCATCGCTATTTGGGACGTTGATGCAGAGGAGGAGCGACACTGCATGAAGGTGCCCGGAGGTTTTGGGGTTGGGGGTTTCCGGTGATGTTTAACAATTCTGGTTGGGGTTGGGGGCGGTTTCCGAAGACACCCCCACTCCACATCACCCCGCAGAAGGTAGAGCGAGAAATTTGGAAGCTTGCATAGTTACCAAGATCATTCCTTCGGGTTCCTTCTACAGCACAGTATACCCCCAACCTGTATGCTAATTACTGAGCCCTAAACCCTAAACTCTAAACCCAAAACCCTAAACCCAAACCCCTAAACCTTAAGTCCTTCTACCTAAACCCTGAAAGCAATAGCCCTCATAGAACCCGTCACGGTGCCCTTTCATGCAACCCGAGCACAATTATCAAGGCCCCCTGTACCAAAACCCCAAAAACCTAGAACCCTTAACGGAACCTTTACCCGTACCATCGAAGGACTCATATTTTAAGGCTTCTGGGCCCAAAGACCCTACTATAGAAGGCTTTTGGACTATTTTGATGCTAAGGGTTAAAGGAGCCATCTTCTAATTGTCAACTGGAAACCCTGGGGACTTTACACAGAGCCCAAAGTCAAACCGCCAAAGAGCCCTTAAAGGGGCCCTTTGCAAGGAGCCATATTCTAGTCAGCAAGGCCCCGATATGACAATCTTTGGTCGGGAAATAAGGAGCCCTGACGTTAGGCCCGAAACCCGAAACCCGAAACCCTAAACCCTAAACCCCAAAACCCCAAACCCCAAAACCCTGAA